TCCAATCAGGAGCTGCTGCTTTGTAATAGGCACTGGGGAGTCCTGACAGCTGCTCTCTTCCTCCTCCTCCTTCTCCTCCAAACCCATGATGCATCCAACACGCGTGTAATAACAGAAGGGGAGAAGAGAGACCAAGAAAACAGTGATTGTTTTGGTGTGCGCAAGTGAGATGTGCACACAGGAGGGAAAGTCCACTCTTCAGTGGAGCAACAAACAGCCCCACAGCACTTTTAAGCCCAACAGATTTATTTCAGCATGAGCTTTTGTGGATTACGATCCCACTTCCTCTGATCCAAGGCGTATCATCTGTCAGGTGTGCCTGTGTGCAACGCTGCGCAGCTGTGTGGGTGGGATCAGAGCAAAACAGAAGGAAGTGGTTTCTGAGCCAGGAGAACTCGTGCTAGGATGAGTTTGTCAGCTCCAAGAAAAGCATTTGTTGCTTTGCAGAAGCTGACAAGCACAGCTGTCCCTTTGGAAACAGCCCCAGTGTTACAAAGAAAGTGGCACCCCAAAAGATCCTTCTGCCAAGAAACGTCAGACAAAATGGTCTAAGATCATGTGGCTGAGATCTGTGGTTTGTTTTTATCAGCGCATGGGGTGGGGCTGTTTGTTTGTTAAACAAACTCCCATCGTACCACTGTGTTAATCCCTGAGATGCTCAGCCGTAGCATCTCTGCTCTCGGCATTCTCGCTGCCTGTTAAAAGGCACAATAGTCACTGCCAGCCTGTGTTGCATAGCTTTAAAAAGGCACATGGAAAGCAGCTGAAACCTGGGAGCTCTTTTTTCCAGCTTTGGAAGAAATAATAATAATAATAATAATAATAATAATAATAATAATAATCTTTACTTATACCCAGCCACCATCTCCTGAAGGGGACTCAGGGCAGTTTACATGAGGCCAAGCCCAGTAGTGCATTACAACAAAATAAAACCAAAAACACAAAACAAACATCGCACCATCTTATAATTCCTAATTCTGTGAAAATTCTACAGGAATATGTGTAAATTGCAGCCCTGGTGGCACAGCAGGTTAAACCACTGAGCTGCTGAACTTGCTGACCAAAAGGTCAGCAGTTCGAATCCAGGGAGCGGAGTGAGCTCCCACTGTTAGCCCCAGCTTCTGCCAACCTAGCAGTTCGAAAACATGCAAATATGAGTAGATTAATAGATACCACTTTGGCAGGAAGGTAATGGTGCTCCATGCAGTCATGCAAACCACATGACCTTGGAGGTATCTATGGACAATACCGGTTCCTCAGTTTAGAAATCAAGATGAGCATCACAGAGTTGGACACAACTAGACTTAACGTCAAGGGGAAACCTTTACCTTTACTTATGTGTAAATTCTGCCAAGTCAAAACAAAATGTCCAATTTAATGTGTGTGTGTGTTTTTTTGGTCGTGTCAGGAGCATCCTGTTGTGAGAGAATTGGCCGTCTGCAAGGACGTTGCCCAGGGGACACCCGGATGATTTTGATGTTTTATCATCCTTATGGGAGGCTTCCCTCATGTCCCCGCATGAGGAGCTGGAGCTGATAGAGGGAGCTCATCTGCCTCTCCCCGGATTCGAACCTGCGACCTGTCAGTCTTCAGTCCTGCCGGCACAGGGCTTTAACCCACTGTGCCACCGGGTTCTCCAATTTAATGTGTGATAGTTGAAATTAGACACGGCGAAAATACATTTTCACTGACTGGAAGAGAAATGAAGGCAAGTCCAGACAAGGCTGAGAAAGTAACAGCCAGGAGATAGAGGCATTCTTAGTTTGGTTCAGTTTTTATTTGGAGTGCTATAATGCTATGATTTCACTTTAATGGCCATGGTTTCATCCTATAGAATTCAAGCTCTTGTATCCTTCCTTAAATCACCAATCGCAGAATTCCATGGGATGGAACTATGGTAGTTAAAGTAGAATTATAGTACTATAATGATGTACTAAAATTGGTTCCTCTGAACACATTGGATCTTGTCAGCATCCTTCTTGAACTGGGCACAGGGTTTCAGATGAGGTCTGACCAAAAGCAGAATCGCATAGTACTGTTATTTCTCTCCATTCAGACCACATGTCAAACTCAAGGCTTCTGGGCCAAATTTGGACTGCCATATTATTTTATGCACCCTTCCAGATAATGGACTACAACTCCTATATTTCCCCTCATTAGACATTATAACTAGAGCTGATGGGAGTTGTGATGCAGTAACATCTGGAAGGCTGGTTTGTTCTATTTATTCAGGAGAGTGGGTTTTGAATGTAGATACAAGGCTTGTGGGAATGGTGACTGGCTTTAAAATGTCATTTAATCTTTCCTCAACCTCAGAACCACAAGCTGTTGGGTTGCAATTCCCATAATTCCCAGTCCGCATGGTGGATAATAAAAAAATAATGGTAGTTGTCATTCAATAACATCTGGGAACCCTCACTGGGTAAAAACTAAAGCATTCTAACCACTATGTGAAAAGATTATAACTGACCCTCTGTATCCATGGATTTTTTTGTTCATAGATTTAATAGCCCTTTGAAGGCAACCATGAGGCTGATATGGACTTCACTGAAAATGAGTTAGACAACCCTGATATGGATACTAAATAGTTTAGTTCAGCTAAGTGTTTGGCCATGTCTCTGTGCCTTTTAGAAATGCTTGTAAGACAGAAGCCCTTTGCCCTGCTTATCTGAAAATTGATAAGGCCAATGCCCTGGAGAGCTGGTCTATGTGGAAGTAATAAAATGCCTGACATTTTTCAAGCCGCTTGGCTGGAGAAGGCTAAAATTACAGGCAGCAAAAGACGGGTGGGAGAACAAAAACAAGCTTATCAGAGCCAACCAAAAGGAATGACATTTTGAAAATTAAACTGAGTGGGGAAAGGAATGCATCCATTTTTGTTTTTACTACTTCAGGAGAGAGTGGCCATGTTCGAGTTCTCCAACCCAGTGGCTTCTCCAAGGCATGTTTATGAAAGTTAACAAGAGTCAACATCTTGTAGTGTGCATTCATAGGGCTTGCCTCAGGAGACCCTTTGGAAAATTCCAGTCAAAGCCATGCAATATGTGGTCTCCAGATCTTATAATCTCCAGATGTTTTAGAGACCTATCAAATTATGAGAGTGGCAGATTGTGGGGTTGCAATGCAATAACATCTGGAGGGTGATACACCCTCAGAATAAAAACCATGAGATCAATAACATCTGCCAAGTGTTTTTCTAGCCATGGGGCTGTTTGTTGTGGGAGCAGTTGTAATATGATTTAGTTTCATATTTTAAAAGCTGGGTGGCATTCTCTTAGGCCATTGTAAAATGACTTAAGAATCAAGTAATGGGGAATTGCAATGTTGCACAACACTGGTAATTTGCATGGGGAGAAGAGATGTAGCTGTCAAAGGCTTTCATGGCTGGAATCACAGGGTTGTTGTGAGTTTTTCAGGCCGTATGGCCATGTTCCAGAAGCATTCTCTCCTGACATTTCACTTGCATCTATGGCAGAGGTTGTGAGGCTAAGAACAAGCCATGAGAGTAAAGCCAAAGATACACCTATAGGAAAAATGTTCTTACCATACATCAAGGGAACCACTGATCACACAGGGAAGCTGATGAAGAAACACAACCTACAAACTATCCACAGATCCACTAAAGAAATCCAACAAATGCTATATTCAGCAAACAACAAGAGGGATCCTCTCACTGCTGCAGGAGTCTACCATATACCATGCAGCTGTGGACGAGTCTACATAGGGACAACCAAACGCAGAATTGCCCAAACACAAATCAAGGAACATGAAAGGCACTGCAGCTACTTCAACCAGAGAAGTCAGCCATAGCAGAGCACCTGATGAACCAACCTGGACACAGAATATTATTTGAGAACACAGAAATGCTGGACCACACCAACAACCACCATGTCAGACTACACAGAGAAGCCATTGAAATCCCCAAGATTGTGGACAATTTCAACAGAAAGGAGGAAACTGAATAAAATCTGGAAATGAATAAAATGAATGAATAAAATGAATAAAATCTGGCTACCGGTATTTAAAAAAACTCTAAAATCATAACAGTAAATAAGGAATAACACTCAAGAACAGGTGAATTCCAGACAAGAAATAATCAGGGCCAGTTAATCACTTCACAACAAAGGATTCCCCTAGGGCAGTAAGAAGCCAGACCTTGAAACTGCAAGACCATTAAATGCTAATCAAGGTGGCCAGTTGAAACATTCACACCTACCTCAACCAGACAAGAGTTCTTTCTCCCACCCTGGACTTTCCACAGATATATAAACCCCATTTTCCTAGTTTCCAACAGACCTTGCAACCTCTGAGGATGCCTGCCGTAGATGCAGGCCAAACATCAGGAAAGAATGCTTCTTGAATATGACCATACAATCTGGAAAACTCTCAACAACCCAGAAATGTAGCTATTTCTCCAGCTCCATTGTGCAGACATCAAAATGGCTGTAGCACAACAGTCCTAATGTACAATGTGTACCAATGCTCAATGGGAACATTTTCCCATTGCTGCTCAAATTTCTTGACCTATGCTTTGTAAATACACTGAGGGGAGCTGGTGAGGCAAGCTGACCTACTTTTCCCATTTCTCTCTGTTTTGTTGCATGCTCAGTAAAGGATTCTGGAGGCAGCTGCTATTTACCTTGCCTGTTGTAAACAGGCATACTTAACGGTAGTAGGATCAGTTGAAGTAAATCCCATTCTTTCTTAGTGTGTTTTACTGCAGTATTTACTATAGACATACTGCTGCATCCCAGACCCAAAAGTATGAGTTACTTTGACACCTTCCCTATGCCAATGCTCCAAAATAAACACTTCTATATGAATGAGGAAGGTGGACTCATGTGTGTAAAAAGATTTTGTAAAAAGGAGTGCCTTTGTCAGAGACTTTGTTAACTGAAGTATGCCTGTATATAGAAATGGTAATCCAAATCTTTGCTTTAAGAGGGTTAAACTTGTCACTGAAAGGGTTTCATCACTCTTCATTCTGCTTCGTCTTCCAGGTTCCACAATGAATGCAGCACGGAGGTCAGCCCGAGTGGATTCAGGGGCGACGGAGTCCCAGATGGAGCCGTCGCTCAATGCCACTGAAATGCCCAGCAAGGAGAATGTTTTTTCCGACATGAAAGACAAATTCATGAACAAACTGGGAAAGCTGCCAAGTGCGTAGAGCTGTGCTCACATCTTTCTCCTTCCCATCTCAGATTTCAGATTGCAGGGAGGGCAGGATTCATCCAAGTTGAAAGGGCACCAGCTATTATAAAAATGTTTTCTGAAATAAATTGGAGTCATGTCGTCTGCCATTTCTCAGCCAACTTAAGACTTGGCTTGAATTTTAAAACATAGACAATGCACAGGGCTGTGTCCTATAAAAAAAAAACTAAACTGGAGAATGTGTTACCAAAAAATGTCACCTCTATGTCTTACAAAATATAGTTCCAATTTTCAAAAGAGCAATGTAGCATATCCTTGTGATGCCATTTTCGCAAAGGCCAAATCTTATCACTCTTGGAGGTGGAGCTGATTGTGTGGCAAGGCAATTTTAGAAGAGACGTTGTGTGTCCAAATGACATGATTTGAGTGGCTAGGGGTACGGATTGTGTGAATATTGTGGCAATCTATGAATGGTGACTCTGCCCCAGAATCCATCCTCCACATCTTCAACCTCTTCTTGTGCTCCCCTCCAGTTCCACCTTGGGCTTTGGCCGCGATCATCATTGTTGTTGGAGTGCTACTTCTGTGCTGCTGCTTCTGTGTCTGTAAAAAATGCTTTGGCAAAAAGAAGAAAGGAAAGAAAGGGAAAGACAAAGTGAAGGCGCAGATTAATATGAAAGAGGTGAAGGAGTTGGGCAAAAGCTACATCGATAAGGTAAGTGGCATCATTTCAGTGGCTGTTGTAAAACCCTTCAACCTATTATCTTTAATTACATTCAAAGAGATCTCTTTCCAAAAGGAAACCCAGTCTGCAGATGAGGAAGAGCATTTTATTTCCTCCTCATCTCTGATCTAAGAAGCCGAGCAAGAGCTCATGTTTGCTTTGCTGAATCTCTGGTGTGCTCAGAAAGTAGGCAGAAACTGACTCTCTAAGGGTGCCTCTACGCTGTAGAATTAATGCTGTTCAGCACAACTTTAACTGACATGGCTCAATGCTATGGAATACTGGGATTTGTAGTTTGGTAAGACACCAGCACTATTTGGGAGATAAGGCTAAAGGCCTTATAAAACAACAGCTCTTGTGATTCCATACCATTGGACCATAGTTGCGCTCTCATGATTCCATACCATTGAGCATCTGACATAGTGGTGTCAAACTACATTCATTCTATAGTGTGAATACACCCCAAGACTTCTTCCTAAGATCAGCACTGTTAAATCCTCTGCCATTCTCCAAGTCTTACGAATAGTAGAGGAGTTATTTCTGAACTCGTCCTGTTCATAGTTTCACTCACTTATGACAATATCTGTTGTGTTTGTTGGCATTGGCTTTTCAAATGCAACAGACTTTTCCAATCTGGCAGATTCCTGATGTGTGGATCTATAACTCCCATCCTCCCCCAAAATCATGACCAAGGAGATAAACTAATAAAGACGAGAGAGAGAGAAGAGAACTGCATCCCATTTTTAAAATAAACCTCACAATTGGTTTTTCTTACTGTCCTTTGAGCACAAAGCTTAGCTGAAGATGGAAGAGCCAGGCTGTCAGCTAATGTCTGTAGGAGCAAAGAGAAAAAAGATGTAAAACCTTGAGCAGTGAACTTCTCTGCTTCTTCCTTTGTACAATATTCATGAACACTGTCTCAAGCAGGATCCCCTTCAGAATTGAATTGAATTTTTAATCGTGCTCATGGAGAAAATCTGCCACATGAATTCACCTTTCCACCCGTATCTTTAGTCTACTTGTTGACCTTTTACACTTGTATGCCACATCCCAAGCTAAGCAATAGAATTTTAAGTCTGCATATCACTAAGCTTTTGGCACTATAACATTTCCATTTGTTATTTTCCATGTAAGCAAAAGGAAGACTTGTTGGCTTCCCTGCTCACTTTTCCTTCTTCCTTCTAGGTTCAGCCTGAGGTAGAAGATTTGGACCCATCACTGTTGCAGGAGCCCAAAGAGGAGAAGCCACAGGAAAAGCTGGGAAAACTCCAGTACTCACTTGACTATGACTTTCAGAGCACACAGGTGAGAATGGTCAATGCTTGTTCCCTTTTTAGCCTGGAGCAGACCAGGTTAGCCACTCATAAAACAAGCAAATAAGGCTCTACAGCACTGGAAAAGAGCGCCAAAATGCACATAAATGCACATATCTACAGGTTTATTTATCTATTTACTAGCTGTCCCCTGCCATACGTTACTGTGGCCCAGTCTGTGTATTTGTGTTTTGTGTGTGTATATATTTGTGTATATGTGTAAATGTGTGTTTGTGTGTGTGTGTGTGTATGTGTGTGTGTGTGGTTTTGCGCATGCGTTGTAATATCATTTTTGTTTTTTGGCTTTTAAAGTCCCTTCTGCTGTGTTTTTCAGTGTTTTTATGATTGAAGGTCACTTGTTGACCTGATAGATGTATTGTGTCCAAATTTGGTGTCAATTGGTCCAGTGGCTTTTGAGTTATGTTAATCCCACAACATTACATTTATAGATAGATAGATAGATAGATAGATAGATAGATAGATAGATAGATAGATAGATAGATAATTTATTTACGACATTTATATGCCACCCTTCTCATCCCAAAGGGGACTCAGAGCGGCTTACAAGATATATATACATACAATATATTATATTATTAGCATAGTACAATATCAGTAGTATATATTACTATATTATACTACACCATTTTATGTATAGGTGCAAGTTGTAAAACAATTGCTCTGATCTAAATAGAAATATACTACATCTATTTGTCACAAGGAGGACCATGATCAAATGACCTGCTTGCTAGCTCAGTCTGCTTCCCAGTTGTTGACTGTGGATGGCAGCTTAAATACCCATATCTCTCTTTCTTTATGCCTCTTTATCTTTAAACTGGACTCGAACTGGTCATCCTTTGGGGGAAGGTCATTTTCTGCAATAGGACGCCCTCTTGTTGTGGTGGTGTGCCTTCATGTCATAACTAACTCATGACAACCAATCTAACGTTTGCCTATGTTTGCACCTTTCCACAGCTGGTAGTGGGCATTATACAAGCTGCTGACCTCCCAGCATTGGACATTGGAGGTACCTCTGATCCTTATGTCAAAGTCTTCCTGCTCCCAGAGAAAAAGAAAAAATACGAAACCAAAGTCCATCGCAAAACTCTCAACCCCACGTTTAATGAGTCCTTCACATTTAAGGTAAGGTTCCCTTGCTTTCCCTTTTTCCCAAAGCTCCAGAAATATGTCGTGCATTGTTCTTCTCAAATGTCACCTTCATTTATAGCTTTAAGCTCTCTCCATCCTTCATGAATCTTCATTTTTCTATCTCACATCACACTCCTTTCATTTATTACTCCATTTATTACCTCCTTTTTCTTCTTCCTTGAATTATAAGGTGGCTTACAAAACATAAAATAGTTACAAAAAAAGTTCAAATTGAACTAGTGATGTGTACAAAGGCTAGAAAGATCTATATCAATAGAACAAAAATCAATTTAAAAACAAATCAGTTAAAAGGCAAGATGTGGACAATACAGTGTAGTATTAAAAACTTCCACAAAACAAAAAAAAACTGAGCAGCATCATAGAGGAAGCCAGTCAATCAATTCTACAAAGAGATTTCCAAAACTTTGCAGCAGCTACCAAACAGACCTTCTCCCAAAGTCACAACAGTGTATCTGCATGGATGATACAATCGGGAGAAGAGCCTTCCCTGAAGATCTCAAATCTTCTGTAAGGTCATTTAGAAGAATACGGTCCTTCAGAGAGCTAGTGACACTTCAACAAAACCAATAACCTTTCAATCAAGAGTGGCTTTCTTCAATCCATTATTCCTTGTGTTTATCATTCAGGTTCCCTACTCAGAGCTGGGTGGCAAGACCCTCGTCATGTCTGTCTATGACTTTGACCGCTTCTCCAAGCATGATGCCATCGGTGAAATCCGTATTCCCATGAACACTGTAGATCTGGCACATGTGATTGAAGAGTGGCGGGACCTACAGTCAGCGGAGAAGGAAGAGGTAGGTCCTAATGCTCAGTCACTGGCAGGACTATCGAAATGTTCATGTAAATCTTCCCTCCTATTGCTATGATAGTTTGAAAGACTCAACAACAGAAGTTGGAAGCAAGCATGAGATTCTGATTGTAGAATCAGCATTCCACCAGGATTGGTGCTAGTTCTATGGCTTAGAAAAAGTGTTTATTGGAGAGGCTCCACTACATACTTCCCCTCCCTGTATATGGAGGTCATTTCCAGAAGCTTTTCTGTCAACCTAGCCTGGCTCTATCATTAGGAGAGAGAAACAGTAGCATTAGCTAATGTTAGGGTTGACAATTGTATGGGATAAATTCTCCCCTGCTCCACTGTCCATGAGCTAATCCTATCTAATGTACTGGAGTCCCTGGTGGCATAATGGGTTAAATCCTTATGCAAGCAGGGCTGAAGAGCAACAGGTTGTAGGTTCAAAACAGGGGAGAGTGCAGATGAGCTCCCTCTGTCAGCTCCAGCTCCCCATGTAGGGGCAGGAGAGAAGCCTCCCACAAGGATGGTAAAACATTTGCATGGAAACAGCTTTTAAAAAATCAATATGTGATACCATGGTAAAATGAGAAGATGGGAATGGTGCTTCTTTTAGATTCTTCCAGGAAAAACTAAACTCTTGCCTTTTTCCATTCCACACAAAAATGGAGATGATTCCCATTTTTATAAGAGTTAAAGCATACTTCTTACACTGACCCATGGATAAGTTGATTTTTGGGTGGGGGGAGTAATTTTATTTTACTATCATTTGACTAACAAGTAGTTCTTCATGTAGAGCAAGAGTAGTGTTTCTTTGTCCTCTTGCAGTGAAATGTCCAGTGGCAATTTGAATATTCCGTGTAATTTGAGCAATGAGTCTACTCTTGTACTTGCCTTAACTTTAAAGGATCTGTCCAAAGTGCCTACTCTGTTTTGGTACAGAATTTCAGAACCTTGGATAGCACAGTTTAGGCTAAGGCCTAGACCAGACTTACTAGCTGCCACTGAAAATATTTCAGGCTGGCCTTGATTCCAGCTCAGAATCTGTCCTGTTTGTCTTCCTTCAGCATGAGAAGTTGGGAGATGTCTGCTTTTCACTCCGGTATGTCCCTACAGCTGGGAAGCTGACCGTGATAGTCCTGGAAGCCAAAAACCTCAAAAAGATGGATGTGGGAGGTCTTTCAGGTAAGAGGTTACCATTGTGATAAAATATGTAAAGGATGAGAGCATTGGGACCTAGCTGCTCTCCATAGGCATTTTCTTCTCCCAATTTCTAATTTCCCAATTCTCAGGGTACATATTAAATTAATACATTTGGGCAATCATTAAAAATCACAAAAGGGTATGTTATGCAAAGTTTACGGTGTTGCAAAAGGCAATAAGGGTGGAGAAAAAGAGGAAAGATTAAAGAAAACCCCAAAAGGCTTGGTCTTAAAGTCCTTATGTCCCTACCATATTGGGATGGTGAAGGAAGAGTTCTCACTAATCCACAAATCCCATGGCTCCATAGGATGCTGCCGTGGCAGTTAAAGGTGGAAATACCACTGTAATTTGTGTAATACGAAAATGTTACTGGAAGTGCTGCCTGAAGGCACTTCACTCCCTCATTCTCTTCTTCTGGAGCATATCGTTCGTCACCATGACTCTAATGTTTCCTTTTCTCTTTCTGCATTCCCTATCTCAATCTCTCCTTCCCAACTCCCATTCCAGACCCCTATGTTAAAATTCATCTCATGCAGGGAGGAAAACGTATTAAGAAGAAGAAAACAACCATAAAGAAGAACACATTGAATCCTTATTATAATGAGTCCTTCAGCTTTGAGGTGCCTTTTGAACAGATCCAGGTAAGCCTCCTTTCCTAGGCCCCACACAGCTGTATAAAATCCACATTGAACTGGATTACATGGCAGTGTGAACTGAGGCCCCTTCCACACAGCTGAATAAAATCCCACATTATTTGCTTTGAACTAGAATATATGGCAGTGTGGACTCAGATAACTTGGTTTAATGCAGATATTGTGGATTATCTGCTTGATCCTCTTGGTTGTATGGCTGTGTGGAAGGACCCCTGGTCTCCCATTTCACTTATACAATGCCTATCTTGATTTGGAATATGGTGATAACATTCCCAGATTATTTTCACCTTGCCAAAAGTTGACATTGCATGTTCAAAACATTTGTATTTTTTTAAATGGAGAGAAATTGCTTGTTTTTTAAACTTGCATGGTAATTTGTATATTACTTTGAACCCCAGCAAGCAGATATAGTTAGTTTTTAATTTGATATAACCCAACTTTCTTTCAGAACTGAGATACAATGCAATTTATACATAATGCAGTCAGCCTTCCAGATTTATGTGTTTAACTTTTGTGAATTCAATTATTCATGAATTTGATTAATGTGTTGTTTCTACGAATCTCTAGATTCTCCAGCAGAAGTTGACCATAAAGTTGTGCTGAAGGATCAAGAGATTCTCTAGGCTTCTTTAGGTACTTGTAAACTCCCCCGCCCAGCTTTTTTTTATGAGTCATACTAGAAGATGTAGGGATTCTGCAATATTGGAGAGTCTTCTGCATATTTTTAAGAACCAATGAAAAAAAAATTGCAAATAATTAAAATTCCATTAAACTTGCTATAATTTGATAATATGAAAACAGAGGTGAAAATACCTGTAGAACCTCTAAAATAGCGATGTTATTGGAAAAAATAGTGGGAATGATAGCAGTAATAAGTAATAAACAAATAATTACTGTTATTTTTGTTTTCGGCACCTTATCTGTAGCAATCCATCAGTAGTCAAAATCTATTCTGAGTAGAAATGTATTTGCTTGGTAGTACAAAGATCAGATTAGCCTCCTTGAAAAGGGAGTGCCATAATCATGGGGTCAATTGAACATAGTCCCACACTATTTTTTGTCATTTCTATTCCATGTTCAAATAGCTCACTAGCTTGCTGTTAGACATGGCATCATGCTATAGAGTTTCGCGTCCTTCCACATTCTGGCTTATGTAACCAATGTGAGTCTTTGTAAATTTGTCAAATGACACTCTGTAATACCACTTACATAACAAATATTTTTCCTCCTTGGAAGAAGTCTATGAGAAAGATTTTCAAATATTCCAAATTCTTCTCCGTAAACAGGAACATGCTATGTTTGCTCCTGTTTTTGAATCTCGAATAAATCTCTATATGGAGAAAGAAGTCTGTTCTGCAAATCCTAATGGAATTGGCAAATTCTGGAGTATGTTTAAAGTATTCCTTGATGCTAGTCTTTTGAAGAGCTTTTAAGGAACTGGGAAGATAGGCGGCCATGAATGCCAAGTGTCCCAATCTCATCCCAGATAAATTACTTGAATCTTTCCCATCTTAAATGGGAAAACTGAACTTTTTTGGTGGCACTCTGGGACTTGAAGCTATTGCATAATAGAGGGGAGAAGATGCAGTTCTCAGCAGAGAAGTTATTAGCTTAGTCTGAGTTTTACATCCTTTTTCATATCTCCTCTAATTTCCTATAACACACTATCCTAGAATATAGACTGAGCATCTTTCATCCAAAACCCGAAATTGTCCACATGGGTGTCTTATATAGTGCCACTTTGCATTCTGATGGTCCAATGTACACAAATGTTCAATGTGTTGTCAAAGGCTTTAATGGCTGGAATCACTGGGTTGCTGTGAGTTTTCTGGGATGTATGGCAATTCTGGAACATGGCCATATAGCCTGGAAAACTCACAGAACATTATTTAACATGTTGTAAGAAATTACCTTCAGGCTTCCTGTATAAGGTATATATAAAACATAAATGAATTTTACATTTAGACTCCCATCTCTGAGATATGTACAGTATATGCATCTATAGGTATTTCAAAATCTGAAAAACCCAGTCCAATACACTTCTGGTCCCAAATATTTTGAGTAAGGAATCCTCAACTTGTATACCAAACAGTCATTGATAACTCAAGAAGGAGAAAGTGAAGTTGAAAGTGAGGGTTGTAGTTAGGCTTAGAAATGGCAGGAGGGAGAAGGGATGGAATACCGTGTCCAGTTCTGGGAACCACACTACAAGAAGGATATTGATAAGCTGAAATGTGTCCAGAGAAGGGCAAACAAAAAGATCAAAGATTGGGAAAGCCTATTGGGAAAGGCTGAGGGAGATGGGTATGTTTAGCTTGAAGAAAAGAAGGTGGAGAGGAACATGATTGCCATGTGTACAAATATTTGAATGGCTATCATGTTGAAGAGAAGGCAAGCTTTTTTTCTGTTTTTTTCTGGAGACGAGGACATGGAGCAATGAATTCAAGTAGCAGGAAAAGAGCTTTCACCTAAACATTAGGAAGCACTTCCTGGCAGTAAGTGTTTTGATTGTGTGTTCCTGCTTGGCAGGGGTTTGGATTGGAGGTCCTTGGGTCACTTCCAGCTCTATGATGCTATGGTTAAACCTCTGCATTCTACCTATGATTCTTCATATGATTGCAATTATAATTCTTCTCCCTTTACAGAAAGTTCAGGTTGTTCTGACGGTCCTGGATTATGACAAGCTTGGCAAGAATGAAGCCATTGGAAAGGTCTTTGTGGGCTGCAATGCTACAGGCGCAGAGCTTCGCCACTGGTCCGACATGCTGGCCAACCCTCGGCGGCCCATTGCCCAGTGGCACACCCTGCAGCCCGAAGAAGAGGTGGACGCAGCGGTTGGCATAAAGACCTCTTGATGCCCCTTGGTTGCTGGCCGAATTACCCGGCAACAATTCTGTCTCCCGTCCAGAGCGCATGGGAGTGTGTGGGTGAGGCGCCCCTGAAAATGCGTATGTGTGTGTGGAGGGGGGAGCCTGTGAGCCTGTCTCTTCTCTCAGAGCCATTTCCTGTTGAAAAAAAAATCTTCCAAGAGTAAATCCTGTTTTTTATCCACTGTGTAAAAAAAGGAAGGAAGCTTACATAGTAGTTGGAGACAGGGGAGAGGTTTAATACAGGTTTACTATGAAGCTAACAAAGCAAATTTTACAAGTTTAGATATTTTGCTTTCAGATATGAGTAATGCACTTCAAATCTGACCCTCATTAGCAGGTGGGCTTACCTTTCAACACAGAAAAATACTTAAAATTATTGGATCATATGTTACCATGCTGCCATAGGTCTCAAATAAACCTACTGTTTATCCCTTTGAACCTATAGATTTGCTACCGGTGTCTTTAAGTGAAACCATTTTGTACACGTTTTGGCTAATGTTCTATGGTGCCATGTTTGAAAACTAGACCTCAGTTGGAAATCGGTTGTAAACAATATCTACAGATGTGTTTACAACAGGTTTACTAATATATTTGTTTTCTGATTACGTCAACTATATAACCTTAGATGTTGTGTTATACCTGGAAAGCAAGATGCAAAGTTAAAAAGCATACCAGAAATGTTTTGAACATTTAGAAAAAAATGTTTGAAAACATAGAAAATAGAAAACTTGAAAATAGCTTTACATTGTGACCAAGGCTGCAGTTTATACCCACTTACCTGAGAGTATGTCTATTGAATCCAATGGTACTTATTTCAGAATATGAAACTGATTCATACAAAAACATTAAATTGTTGGTTTTTTGTGCTATAAAACATTTAAAATTTGGATTGCCTTAGAAAACCCAAAACACTATTAGTTAGGGATAAGACTTAAAATATAAAATGTGTGAGTTTAAATTACAGAACTCTAGAAAGTGTGTGGTAGTAGTGCTAATTATTTTATATTAACATGCTTATTTGGTGTATAAAAACTAGATACTCAACTAAACTTTAGTATAAATTGGTAATTTAGGCCCCTTCTATACTGATTTATAATCAAGATTATCAAAGCAGATAATCCACATTATCTGATTTGAACTGGATTACATGAGTCTACACTGCCATATAATTCAGCTCAAAGCGGATAATCTGGATTTTATAGGGCAGTGTAGAAGGGGCCTTAGTTTCACCTGCAAAATTAACATGTTTTTTTTTCAGTTTTAATGTTTAAGCATAGTAGAGTGTTAAACATCCATCAGCCAATGTATTAAACTATTCATATATAGTTTATCCTATTTTATATTGATATAATTTAGATTTTATAGCAGTTTTAACATAGCCATTGTCCAATTTTACAGTACCTGCTTAACAGCATATTTATTAAATATTTGATATGGGTATTACACAAAATTTGCTATAAGCTTTATGTGGACCAGATAAGTACAGATTTACTAGTGTTTTACTACCCAACTTGTAATAATTTTGCTATCTTGAAAACAAGTTTACATTTTTGCTACAAGCTTAAGCCTGGTTTATTATTACAACTGCAATGAGTTTGATGTTTGACACATTTTATAAATGACAAAGAGCAATTATCCAGATGTTTACTCTAGGATTTACAGCTGGTTTACAATGGTTTTACATAGGCTGAAAAAATGTTTACAATCCATTCTTCTTTGCTGTGGCAATGCTACAAAAGTACGGGTTTTGCAAAAAATATTTTGTAATTCTGTAAGTAATTCTCTAACTCTAGCTAATTTGCTGGGCAATTTATTTAGTAAGTAAACTCACATTAGCAACAAAATTGTTTTAAAGAATTTCCAACCATTTGAAGAATTAATTTGAAACTTCAAACATTTGATCCCCAAATCCAAGTATTTGCGTGAAATTTTTAAAAAATAACATTTGGAATCTGAATTTTGAACAAAATTCTGAGAAAGCTTTTATGTCAGATCTGCTCAGATATGTGGACTAGAGGATGCTGCGAGTTGTCATCCCAAAAGTAACTTTAGATGTGTTCCTTAATTTTAAAAGGATACCATATTTGAGTTCCGCGTAGGAACTCAATTTAGAACTATAGCTATTAATATGGAAGAAAATTTCTCATTCACTGTACGTTTACAATCGATTTTATATCTAACATAAATCTGAAGTTCACCTAAGTGTTGAATCAATGGAACTCAGCGAGAGAGAGACCATTAGGTTGTAAAAACATTTCTTAATCTTGTGAGTTACAGATGAGGTCCAGTTTTCAAAGAAAGATGCCATCCCTATTTGGGACAGCATGGAATCCTTTTAATATGGTCTGAATTAGAATTACCTTATACCCTTTTTTGATGCATTTACCTACTCCTTGGTCATACCATACTTATGGGATTAAAATCCCACCACTCCCTTTCTGTTAGAATGATATACTAATCTTCATCACCATCATTTTCATCTTCATCAATAGCTTCAGCAGATCCTTAGATTCAGTAAGAACTTGAGAAGCCCATACTTGTAATTTTTTTTATTCTGTTAATGTACTGTTTGGGATTAGCAAATGCATTTGATGCCTTTCTCTTCTTGGGGAGGTAGAACAGTATTACGTTTTCCAAATCCTCTTGGGGGGAGGGGGAATAGGAAGTTTCTAAATCTTGCAATGTATTCCTATATATCAGTGGTTCCCAACCTTTTTTTTTTTTTTACAAGGAACCACTTGACCAGGGACCACTCTCCAATATTAGTACCAAAAGGTACTAAAAGGTATGAATCAATTTTTGGTCAACTTCAGGTTCAGTTTAGTTATTTGGGGTACTGTTTCAGAAAATTGCATTGGATAGACCACATCAGCTCTAATTTCTGATACAGAACATATGCCATCCAGTAGTCTCCATCTGCTTGCCCACAGAAAACCATATTTATTAAGCCTCGGCATTGTAAGAGAGTTTTGCAAGACCAGCTGCTCTTGTTGCAGTAATGGTGAGGCCACAGACAATATTTTAGTTCTTGCAGACCACTGGTGGTCTACTGACCACAGGTTGGGAACCACTGCTATATATGTTTTCATATAGTTAAGTCCCACTAAATTCAATGGCACTTATTCCCAGGAACGTGGGTAACTAAAGTTATAACTTTCATAGATTCATATTCAGGAAGAGTTAATATTAAATTGCTTTGGAGTATTACGTTATCTAACTCTCTCATCCTGGCTTTAAAGGCACAGTTATTCCTTTTTTCATCAGTTCCCCCACACTGAGTGCTTTTAGATAGAGTTGCCAGATGGAAAACAGGAGGTGGTTTCTGTTTCTTTAATGGTTGCATAGAAAAGGGTGTTTCAGCTTGTCAGGCAACCAGGTAACAAGCAATAGTCTTCTGAAATGCCCTCTTCTACATAACTATTAAAAGGATAGGAGCTGTCTCCAGTTCTCAATGTGGCAGCTCTACAAGAAGACCCTTGACAGAAACAGAAGACAAAAATTATGAGAAAATACGGAAAACAATATACTACCTAAATATTCCGCCCAAACTTTAGGTAGAACTTCCTGATGATAAGAGATGTTCTACAGTGGATTATGCTGGCCAGAGTGCTTGAAAAAAAAGAAGATTGGCTACCAGTTCATTCACAATCTACATAATTTTTACACTATTCTTAGGGAGATTCTCAAACCAATGTCTTTCATTCTCCAAGCCAGTTTTCACATTATTTTTCCTCAGATTTTATAGAGGTGGGAATTGTGCAGTGGCAGTCCAGGGAAATAAAAAAAAGGGTTGGTTGAACATATGAATTTTACCCACTGTCAAATTACATGTATTCTAGGCTCCACAAGTCTAGCTGGTATGCTTTGTTTCATCCAAATGTAAAGAAAATTAGATTTTAAATGAAACCTAGCTCCTAGTAGTATTCTTAGAGCGCAGCTGAGTTTAGCATAATGGAAGGAATCTTTTCTACACAGATGTTTAGGGCCGAAGGTTTTTTTTTAATCAGTCTACTAATCATAACAAATAAATGGTAAGGATTGTGAATATTATAGCCCAAAGGTTTATCTTGATTTACAAAGACAACCTGGATTTTCAACTTTTTTGGGCTTTGAGTATATCTGTTGATCATTAGCGTTAACAGGTAAGGATCACTACCCAGTGATGAGTGTCAAATCTAAAATTAATTTCCTTCAAAATAGGAAATAATACTCTAATCACATACCGGTGAGTACACTCAAGCGTTCAAAAAGAAAGTCCCCATAAATTAATTATTGCTTCATGCTTTGTTTATTAAAAATGTAAATGGATCCTGTTCATTTCATCAATAAGCCCATGATAATACCTAAAGCTATGCAGATCCTAATAGATCCAGTGTCAGATTTGTAACCATGGAAATGTTGTTACTAATAGCTTCTTGGGGAGATGTAGATCTTAATCTCCTTCCACACTGTGGAGCAGGAATCAAAGATTAAACCAAAAAAGAAGAAAGAAAGAAAGAAAGAAAGAAAGAAAGAAAGAAAGAAAGAAAGAAAGAAAGAAAGAAAGACTAGACCCAGGTTAGCTGGCCATCTGAGGGACATGGTGGCCATATTGATATGTTGCTAACTGATATGTTTTATAGTTGCAGTGTTGATAGGATTCCATATCCATCCATGTCATTTTAGATGGTCCCTTCTCGGTTGACCTTTCCAGATCAATCTTGTGTCAAACAAAGCCATCACATCCCTTTGGTTTTCATTTTGTTAATGTCAAAAGAGAAGAGAAGCATTCCAGATCATGGTTACTGCCGAGCCACAAGGAGGTACTGTGTAATGTGTCACGCAAATGACTGTTCATTTCAAGTAGCTCAAACACCATCTCATTATCTGCTAGCACCATCCACACCCTTGAGTAGACCAAGAGGGTGTCCATAGAAGATGGGTGACATTGAGTTGTCGGTCAGTGCTGTGTTGTATTTCCATCCAATGTGCCCTGCAAGCAAATTCACCTTTCTCACAACTCCTTTTCCCTGCTAACATCTATCCTCTGCTTTTATTTGGCATCGGCTAGCATGGAGATGCCAAGGTCAACATGTCCACAGCAGTGAAAATAGGCCACCTTGAAGTTTAACTGTCATGACTGAAGGGCTTGTGTAAAGTGCAGAAGGCTTTGTAACTTTGGTGTGTGTTGTTTCTATTCCCCGACAGTCCTCTCAACCACCCTTTTTAGTGGTGCTGTCCTTTGAAAGCCGCCCTCCGTTCCCCTTTTGAAACCAGTTTTAATATTGATGTATTTGACCAAGCAGTACTCTTGTCTGTTAATAAATAAGAGATCTCTATATTTCAAATGTGTTGCTTCTCATTGTCTTTGCTTATGGCTGCAGTGTTGAGGAGGGTGGTGTTTCTGGAGGGCCTGCGTTGAAGAACTTTAAATCTTGCTATAAAATGGTTTGTGAAAGAAAATATTACCTTCCATTGATAACTCAGTTACTGAACTTTTCAAAGATGACTACTTTGATTTCACTAACTCCAACTGGACAATGTTATTTTTGGCTTCCTATGAGAGTCATGGGCTTACTGTTAAGGGAAAACGGAACTATTTCAATCCATTGAAGTGTGGAAGGTATGAGGGTGAATCTACACTGTAGAATTAATGCATTTTGATACCACTTTGGATGCCATGGCTCAGTGCTAAGGCATAATGGGAGTAATGGTTTGATGAGGCACAAGTGCTTTTTGCCAGAGAAGACTACAAGACTTGAAAACAGCTCCCATTAATCCATAACTTTGAGCCATGGCAATTAAAGTGGTGTTAAACTGAATTAATTCTACAATGTAGATAGACCCTAAGTGTTGTCAGGCTGAAATTCCAGTCAGACTCTGCTCTTAACTTCTAATGATGAGATAACATGGGGATTATGGTAGACCAGCATCTGAAAAAGAACATCGCTTTAGTTCCCGATGTGCATTTAAAATGGTTCACAAATAAAAATCCATTGGGCTCACAAGGCAACAACAACAACAAATACAACAACAACAATAAATGTATTACCCACCTCTCCTCCTTACAGCTCAAGGTAAGATATTGAAACACGGATGAAGAAAAAAAGAATCCTCTCATCACATTGCATTACTGTTCCTGAATTTGTTGCAAGGAAAGACATACAAAAATAATTAATATGTTTAATTGTGATGGAATCAATCAGCAGCAAGTAACAGCTCACATGTTAATGGGTAAAGAATTTGGCCTAGTTTTTAAACTTAAGCTTTAAAGGAGCTGTTCAGGGTTCTGGTTGTGGGAAAGAATTCAGAACTTTGGACAACTCCTCTAGATATTAAAAAAATGTGTCAGGAGTGACTTGAGAAACTGCAAGTAGCTTCTGATGTGAGATAATTGATCGTCTGCAAGGAAGTTGCCCAGGGGATGTCTGGATGTTTTGATGTTTTACCATCCTTGTGGGAGCCGTCCCTCATGTCCCCGCATTGGGAGCTGGAGCTGACAGGGGGAGCTCATCCGCGCTCTCCCTGAATTCAAACCTCCAACCTCTCAGTCATCAGTTAAAACAGAAAGCAGATTCACCACCATGTTGATATAGAATCTCAGACATGGGCAACTTTCGACCTTCCTCCAGGTTGCTCTTTCGTTACCCAGGGACTAAACGGGACACCGAAATACTCCATAACTATTTTAAAGCCACAAACCAACTTGCTTTTTAAAGGGGATGTTTATGCAGTCATTCTGAACATTCTCTATTATGTACAAAGACCTTCCAGCTACTAATAATCCCAGCCTGGGGCAGGAACACATGTGAAGCAAGTTAAAGCCACCTGTCAAAACCCAGGGGACGGTCCTGCATTAAATATCTCTCGGCCTGGGCAAATCCCTCCCAATCCCAGAGTTAAAACAGGGGCTTTATGTTATGAGGATCAAGAGCGCTTTTCATTCAATTAAAGTGAGGAACAAAGAGCAAAATGCATCAGGATGAATAGCGGGGGGTGTGCAGAGATGAAAGGATATTGGAGAATTAATGTGAATAGGCAGAATATATTATTACTACATTACAAAATGAATTGTTAGAGCTTGTTTGAGGCCATGGATAGGGATTGGCAATATGCAGCCTCCCATAGGTCTCTCGGCTACAACCCTGATCGTGAGCTGAGGTTAAGAGATGATGGGAGTTGATGTTGAGAGATGATGGGAGTTGATGTTGAGAGATGATGGGGTTGATGTTGAGAGATGATGGAAGTTGATGTTGAGAGATGGTGGGAGTTGATGCTGAGAGATGATGGGAGTTGATGCTGAGAGATGATGGGGGTTGATGTTGAGAGATGGTGGGAGTTGATGCTGAGAGATGATGGGAGTTGATGTTAAGAGATTTATTTATTTACTTATTTGTCGTGTCAGGGCAACCAGTCAATTATATTACATTTCTATCAGAACAAAGCAAACAAACAGACAGAATACAAAATTTGTGAGTTTGGTAGTTGATTAAATGTCCTTTGACCAGTATCTAGCCACTTGGAGTGCTTCTGGTGTTGCTGCAAGAAGGTCCTCCATTGTGCA